CAATCACCCGTGACCCACAGTGCAGCATTTTGTATCCAATTACAAAATAACCACCTAGACCTATGAAGAAGAAGGTGAAGAAGAAAGAAACCTGTGCCCTAAAACCTCCATCTCCCACCATGTGATATCACACACTTCTATTCAAACTACACACCAGTGATTCTAATTTTTATCACTCAGTTTTGGAAGTCCTCTCCATGGCCTCAGGTCAAAATGGTGCTTTCCTGTTAGCACAGAAAGTCCTAAATTCTCAGTACCAGGGTTCCAACAGGGTGCCAGCCACAAACCTGGCACACACACAGCAGCTCACAACCCAAACTTGCATTTCTGGCATTCAAATCCCTCAGGATTGTGGCTGTGGGGAGCAAAAAATTCAGATTTGTTGGCCTGTCCATGTTCTTTCACTTTTCTCGCTGCTTCTCTTGGGGTTTTGCTGCTTCCCACAGCTCCTTTGTGCATTCTCTCCTTTCTCTGATATTATTTATCCCTTTCCTACAAATGTCATGGTCATGAGGCTCAGGTCAGGGAAAAACTCCTCATTTTCTAGGAAATACCCAAGTTTTAAAAGCCTCCCAACCAACCACAAGGTGATGAGATGGAGGCCACAATTCTTAAATGTCTGAGCTGAAATGTGTTGGTTTGGATGTTTTTCCAAGGTGTTTTAAAGGTTTCAAAACTTCTTACCTGGTTGGTGTCTGTGGTCAGTGGAAATTCAGTTAATATTGGCTAATTTTGACTGATTTTGCAAATTCTAACTTTGAGTTGTTGCAGGGAAGGAAGGAAGGAAGTGGCTGAAAAAGAGAGACACAGTGTTGGGAGATAATTTATGCAGAGTAGGAGAGGTGGGGAGCAAAAGGGGGAGGCAGCACTCGATAGAAATGCAGAGAAAAGATAAATGAACATTTTATTGTGAGAACGAATACAAAAATCTGCTTGCCAAAAATGTGGGGCAAGATAGCCACTTGCATTAAATGAATTTATGACAGAAGAGATTGATTGAAATTGAGATTTCTAGGAAGGAGGGTTGCTAGCAAGTCATCAGTCTCTTCATTACTCATCTTCTTAATTAAAAACAGCCACAAAGCTTTGGTGTACCCAGACTAGGGGGCTGCTAATTAACTGCACTTTTCTGGGGCTCCTGCAGGGACCTTTCTCTTACTCTGGATTCTCTTTTTTTTTCACTTTCTTTGATGCACATTGTGGATATCTGATAACAGGAACTCTTGCAGCAAGGGTGGTTTGTTGCTTTGGGTGGTTCTTCTGCAGGATTCCAATCCTAATACTTGGGGGTTTTTTTTCATTTTTCCGTGAGCATTTTGACCTCTGAGCAAACATCCTGAGCTCCACTGTGGGAGCTTTCTACATTTCTTTCTCCTAAAAATGATTTCTTGCTTGTGTCCCCCTGCCACATCTAGCAGCTGGGACAGTGTGACACATTTTTGGCAACTAATACAATGTGAATTTATGATGAAAATGGCCAAATGTTTAATTTTTGAGTGAGGAGGTACATTTGGGAAGGGATGCACGTGGGTGTGCTCAGAACAGAAATGTGAAGGGCAGGAGAAAGGGTGGAAGTTTCTGCTGGGAATAAAGTCTTGGAGGATTAAGAAGTTGACAGAAGTCTTGGAAATGGGAACATCTATTTCTTAAAATGTAAGGAATAAGTGGATTATTTGTTGTGAATAAATATTGTAACTAATGATGAACTGTTTGCTTTAATTCTTTGCCCTCACACAGGTCCCTTGTGAAAGACTCCTCTCCTGTGCCTCTGATGGATGTCACTAATTTATCTACACCTCGGAAATTCCTTGAGACTTCCCAGTTCAGTACTCCTGGAAGCTCCAGCAGTGAGTATTTAATCCATATATATTTATTTGTAGATCTTCAGCTGATTTTGCTGGAACAGGAGGAGGAAACTCATCCCCTCGTGGTTCAGGAGTGACAAAAACCAGGGAGGTGATTTGTGCAGTGTCACAGAATGAGCTGGTGTTGTGTCCAGAGAGGCAAAACTTGCTTTTTTTCCTCATGGAAAATCATCTTTTCCCTCTCCTATCCCCCACCAGCTTCAGTTAAAAACACTCAGTTTTCTGTGCCTGTTCTCACCTTGATTGTGTTCTTGGTATTGAGCAGCAGAGATTTGCAGTGGGTTTGTTCTGGGTGGTTTCCTCAGCATTATTTACTGCAGGCAGCCAGGTTTGTGTAGATATTACTGAAGTTATTTTATTGTATGAGAGCCAAAAGGTCAAATCTGTTCCTTTTGGGAGCTTTGTAACTTTGACTAAAGGTCTGGCTGTACACAGGAATAATCTGGGGCTGATCTTTAATTCGTGTTACTGTGACAAACACCGAGGAAAACTCTTTCACTGGTGCTTTTTTTTTCTGAGGCTTTGGAAGAGGAGAAATCAATCTTTGTATTGTTTCAGGAGATTAATAAGTGGGGTTGTCCTTGATGAATAATACAGAAGTGACCTCCAGTCTCTTCCCCCTTTTCAAACCTGTTTCAGTATTCCTCAAATGCAGAGACTCTTCCCTTCTCTTTTCAGCCTTATTAATTCTTCTGTCCTTTTGTTTCGAGTTTTGTCACTCTTGCCTCTCAGATTGTTCCATTTGATTACTCTTATCTTCTGCTCCTGGAAGGGTTTTGTTCTCCAGCTCTGCTCCTGCCAGGCTGGTCTTGGAGCCTGGGGTGGGTTTTTCTGTGTCCTGGAGGTTTGTGAGGAGTCACAAACTTCCAGAGCCTGGGTCACTCAAAATCTGGAAGAGAAGAACCAGAGGGCAAAACTTAAGAATTCCTGTTCTGCTCTGTGATCAGTGGGAAGTTCAGTTCAGTTTTCTTGCAAAAGATGACAGGATTTTGAGGAACTGAGGAAATAAAACCACAAAAACCTGAATCCCAGCCTCACCACTGGAAGCAGAATGGTTTGGGTTGGAAGGAACCTGAAAGACCATCTAGTTCCAACCCCTCTAAATGTTAAAATATTCATTTTTCAGTGATGTTTATCGTGTCTGCTATTTTGTCCCCATAAAATACTGTTCTTCTGTAGAGTAAAAAAAAAAAACCCAAAAGGTCTGAAGTTATGGAGCTGATGTGATCTCTCACCTCGAGGCTGGGGAACAGAGCAGGAGATGCCCCTCCTGATTTTATTTTTTTGCAGATCTCTTCTTGTTCTTCACAGAAAAATCTCTTCCTTGGCTTCTCCTTGTGCTCTGCATCACTCAGTGCTGGGCAAGTGTCCCTCAGCCTGGCAAAGATGTGAATTCGAACAGAAAACGTTTGATCCACATAAAATATGCATATGGTTCTGCTTCAAGTGCACAATGTACTTATGTAGATTTTTTTTTTTTTCCCCGTGTAATTTTATTTAAAAGTAGCCTTTTCCAGCACTGCACAACTAGCAGAGAATTTCAAACTTATGCCTATGCATAACAAAAGCTGTTTCTGCCTGCAGTCACTTAAGTTCTTTGGCTTTTTATTGATGAAACAAAGTGTCTGTGCATATTAATGGGTGTCATTCTAAAGCACTGACTCATTCATCCCATCCCAGCAAAGATGCCAAAATTTGGAGTCTTTCCTGCACTCCCTTCCCACAGGAGATGTTACCTTGTGCTCTAGAATCTTTATAAGGAAATTAAAGCTGTTCCTGCAGCAATTAAAATAAACAAACCCTTTGGTAATGCTCACCTGAGGATTGGAGATGTGGCAGCTCACCAGTAACACTTTCCCTTCATGCCAGTTCAGAGAAATAAATTTCTATTTCTCTGCTCGAATTTTCTGTACTCTGAAAGGGTATTTAGGAAGGTTCCTGCTTTGCCAGCCTCTTCCTGGAACTTTAAAACGTTCTCACAAACCCAGGAGTGCCCTTTCCTGGCAAATTTGGGACAATGCTTCTTAGAAATCCAGCAGAAGATGAGCTGGGGGTGACAACAAATACTGCTATGGGTGGCATATGTAGATTTTATGCTGAATTGCTAATTTATTTCAATGATTTTTTTGGAGAAAAAAGAGTTTGTAGGGCCAGGCAGTGTGGTGAGGTCTAGGAACTGCTCCTGGCTCTCTTTTTTCAAGAATCCGAGACCTCTAAACCTGGTCCTGCAGAATCCCTGCAGGAGCCAGAGCTTGGAATGTTCAATTTTCGAGGTGAATCTAAAAAATGCCATTGTCACAAGGGTCTCTACTCCAAATATGCTCAATAAATCTTCCAAAGATTTCTTCTCTTCTTATGAACCTCACCTGAGGATCTGACACCAGCTGGGTAAATTGACTTTATCATTTTTTTCTTTAAATATAATGATCTGGGGATGTGTTTGGGGAAGGAAAAAGAAAATTAAGGAGATTTTAGATCTATGTGGTGAAAGCCAGGAAAGTAACACATAATTGCTCTTTCTGTATAATTTCATGAATTGTTCCTGTGTGTGGTCCCAACATCAAATAATTGGCTACAGTGCACTTATTTTTTTTTTTATTTGGAGACTTGATTTTCATGCCTGTGTAAATTAGGAGATTTTGAAGTGGGTTTTCTTCTGGGTTTGGTAGTGATGCAGAGCAGAAAATTCCCCAAATCTTCCAGAAATCATCCATTTCTGCAGGAACTGCCCATTTGTAGCTCCTTGAACATGTCAGAACAAGGATTCAGCACCAGGAATTAACAAGTTATGTTCCTTCAAATCTGAAATTACCCCTTTGGGCCACCAGGAACTCGTGTGCTTTTCTCTGGAAGGATTGAAGGTACAAAGGAGATCACCAGAAGGACATAAATCATGGAAAATAGTACATTAAATTTTACAAGACTCCCATAAAAGCCCGTGGATAATGAAACCTTCATAATGAGGAGCAGCAAATTTTGGCTGTTCACTGGAATGAAAAACAAGACCCAAGAGCCTTTTTTTTTTTTTTTTTTTTTTTTCAGCTGCTTTGTTTAAATGAGTTCCCAAAGTTGGCTTTTTAGGGATCAGAGCAGAGCTATGAAAATGCTCCTTGCAGCAGGTTGGTTCCTCGGGAAAGGGCAGCACTGAGCAAATAAAATCCAGTTGGAACAGAGATTTTTGTAGGGATCATCAGAGCAGGGATGAGGGAAGCTGGAGGTGGGGAATCACTGATGCTCATGGTTCAGCTTTTTGGGCTTTAACCCACAGCTCCACTTTTGCCTGCTTGAACACAGAGTTGAGCATTTTCAGATGAAAAATGGTTTGGTGATGAAAAAATTGTGAAATGGCTGCAATTTTATGAGAGAATGTGGCAAAATCCTCATTCCCTCAAGCTGTTGTCCTAGAATGCTTTTGATAAGATTTATTTAGATGTTCTGCTTCACAAGACGTTTGCAGCCTTTGTTAGGACAAGAGGATGAGCCCAGTCAGAGTGGGGTCAGGAAAGGCAGGTCCTGCTTGGCCAGCCTGATCCTGGACAAAGTGGAGGAGGGAAAGGCTGGGGATGTGTCAGGTTTACCTGAACTTTGGTCCAGCCTTGAGGAGGGAAAGGCTGGGGATGTGTCAGGTTTACCTGAACTTTGGTCCAGCTTTTTTTTTCCCAGAGCATTTTCCTGGATAAAGCTGCTTATCCTTCATCAGTGACCTGGTGAAGGGAGCCAGGGCACCCTCAGCACTGGCTGGGTTGGGTGGGATTGATGTGCTGGAGGTTTGGGAAGCTCTGCAGAGCCCTTGGGTGGTTCCCATCTGTCCCAGGGAGCTGGGAGTGTCCAGCTGGTGTGGACTGACCATTTCCCTTTGTTCTGTTCCCCATCCCTGCCTTCCCCTGGCTGCCCTGAGAACAGGGTTTTGCTGTTCAAGACTCAAAGAAGGCATTTGGTGCCTCAGCCTCTTCCTTTTGTCAGAGATGGAAATGTTGGCTGTTTCCACCACATCCAGGAGATTCTCCCTGGCCCACCTTTGCTGCTGTATTTATAGAAATATTTTATTGTCCTTTACAGCATAACCAGGTTAAGTTCTAGCTGGGCTTTGGCCCTTCTCATTTTCTCCTTTCACAACCTCACAACATCCTCTGTTCCTCCTGGGCTGCCTTCAGCCTCTTCCAAATGCCAGGAATTCTCCTTTTCCCCTGAACTCCAGTCAAAGCTCTCTGTCCAGCCAGGCTGGTTCTTTGTCCTGCCTGCTCCTGTGCATTTGGGATTTTCTTCTTGAAGGATGTCCAGCCTTCCTGGACTCCTCTGCCTCCCAAGGGAGTCTCAGCCAGGCTCCTGGACAGCCCAAGGTGGCAGATCTGCTCTACCCCCACTTCCTTCCAAGAATCAATGCTAGGAATAACTCCTCAATCCCAAAGAATAACGAAGTCATTCATATTCCCAGTTTAGGAGTAAATACAGACAAAGCTCTCCCTTCTGGGAGCTGATCTCTGGGGACAGCTTTCCTCTGGCCACAGGGAGCAGCACATGGGGCTGCAATTTTCCAGGTGAATTCCTTAATAAATGCCTGCATCCTTTGAATCCTTTCTGGAAGAGGAAGGGGACAGGAGGAGCTTGTTCCTGGGCCAAAGCTTTGTGGTCAAACAGCCCCTTGATGACATTAAATGGCAGGAGAGGATGTTTGAAGGGTGAAAGACAGGAGAAAAGGAAAATCCTCAGTTACCCAGGGCTGGAATCTTGTCAGATCTCACAGATAAATGGTCCCCCAAAGCTACCCAGGGCTCCTGTTTAACAGGGACAATGTGCAGGGAGCACAGTGCAAACTGTTCCCACTGTTCTATCAAACAGATCTGACAGAGCCTCCAGACCTGGGGGCAGCTCCCAGATATCGAGTTGCTCCCTTTGCTCTTGTTTGGAAGAGATGTAAATCGATGTCCTGACTATTTGAGGATGCTGGAAATTGGTTTGGTCTTTTTGAAAATGGGAGAGTGTTTGTCTCAGCGTGCTGGCAGAGTTCTCAGCAAGATTGCTGCTTTTACTCCTCTTAAATGCTGTCCTCACTTGTGGCTGCAGCTCCATTTCCTCACTCTTGGGTGTTCACTGTGGATATTAAGAAGAATTTACAAGCTGCTTCTAGAGGGAGTGCAGCCTCATGATGGGACCTGTCCTCTGAGAGGCTGCTGAGGATGGGAAATACCTGCATTGAACTCAGAGAAACAAGATATTTAGGTTGGGGTTTTTTTTAATAATAGGTTAAACCTTGCTTCCTGTAGCATTTCCAGTGTTTTTTTTCACAAAGAGCTCATTTTTTGTGTCTGTGCCTGAGTTTTGCTGTGGGTTTTGGAGAATAACAAATAACAATAACAGAGTGGGCAGAGACCAGGCCTGCAGCCACAAAGTCCTTTGCAGCTCTGTGGGGTGAAAGGTCTGTGATGGAGTACAGCTTTGAGCAGGAATAGTTCTGCATCCAGTTATTAAATTCCAATTGCTGTTTGAAATATCTTTATATTATCCTTGCTTTTTTTGCTGTTTTTTTTTTTAAATTAATGTGTTCTGGGTGTTTCTATTTGCTTGTCCTCTAACTTGCTCACATTTAATTGAAAGAAGTGAGTGTGAGAGAGAAAAAAAAGCACTGCTTGATCTTCCTGATGTTCACTGTCAGAGAATCATGGAATATTTTGGATTTGGAAAGACCTTTTTAGAGGTCATCCAGTCCAACCCTCCCATCCATGGGCAGGGACACCTCCCAGTGTCCCAGGGTGCTCCCAGCCCCAGTGTCCAACCTTTCCTTGGGCATTCCAGGGATCCAGGGGCAGCCACAGCTGCTCTGGCAATTCCAGCCCAGCCAGCAATTCCTAATTCCCAAGATCCCATCCATCCCTGCCCTGTGGCAGTGGAAGCCATTCCCTGTGTCCTGTCCCTCTGTCCCTTGTCCCCAGTCCCTCTCCAGCTCTCCTGGAGCCCCTTTAGTCCCAGCAAGGGGCTCTGAGGTTTCTCTGGAATTTTCTCTTCTCCCAGAGCTGGAATCCATTCTCACCTCACTCTCACCTGATGCTCTGGGTTCAGGTGTGAGACCATGTGAGCCCTGAGCTTGGTTTGAGCCAGAGGTGCAGAGTTTGGGATCACACTGCAGGAAAAAAGCAGCCTCGTGACTGATTGAGGCTGAGCTTGGTGCAAAGTGGCACTGAGAGGAGCATTACCCATTTTTTGTGATTATTTATAAACTGGCACCATCCTTGGGCCATTGTTTTCTTGATCTTGTTCTAACTCAGCACTGGTGCTGCTCCTCTGGTCAGAGCCCTGGCAGCTCCCTGTGCCATTCCTTACCCCTGCCATGTTCCTTCCATCCCTCTGCTGCATCTCTGGACGTTTCTTCAGCTTCTTGGAAAAGTTTAGAAGGAAAAAAAAAAATCTGTTGAGGAGTCGAAAGCATGGGAGTCATCTGTCACCCAAGAGCTTTTGCAGAGCTCAGCCCCAGTCAGATGAAACAGCCTTTGGGTTTTAATTCTGATCCAAGGATGTGGCGTGGTGGATGGCACAGAGTGGCTCTAGATCTTCCAAGATGCTTTTAATTCAGTTTGCCTTGAAGACACTCACTTCACATAAGTGTTTAAATATATTTATTAAATGTTTCACCCAGTCTTTAACAGAGCCACGCTTTTGTTGTTGCTGGGTGTTATCTGTAAATTAAGAAATGTTGTTTAATGAACCTCCTTAAAACAAGCAGAGTCTCTCTTGCTTTCCCATCCCCTGTCGCTTAGCAACAGGATTTCTCCTGTGCAATCCCTGTTACTTCAGGACCCTGTCTGCAATATCCTCTCTAATTCTTCTCACTTTACCCATCTAGAAGCCTTGCTGGAAGATTTGAGTAACTTCATCAAGCCCTTGACAGACGTAATAAAGCAGAAAAAGATAAAATCAAACAATCAGTCACTTCAGCAGCATAAACTTTGCTGAATCCATCAGCAGTCTCTAAAGCTTGATAGTGTTCATAATGAAAATTCCTCTCTTGTGAAGAAAACAGCAAGAAAAAACTGAGGGGGTTTTAGCTCCTTGAAACACATTCAGGACATTCTCATTTATGAATTATTTTAATTGCACCAGACTTCCTCGATTTCCTAACACAGAATTTACCCCATGACTTGTTCCTAAACCAATCCAATGTGCAGGCTGCTGTATTTATGTCTAGGGAAGCCCCTAAGAAAACAAAATCCAAGTGTTCCCCCCAAAAAATCCCCCCCCAAATCCAAGTGTTTCTGGTTTCCTTGTTCATCCATGTGTTGTGGAGCCAGAGGAGCTCCCGTGCTGATGTTGGGCTCAATGGATAAAATGTGGGATTAAAATCTCTTTCCAGTGCGAGACTCGAGCCTTCTGGAAACCAAAGAGGACACAGACCTGGATCCAGAGGAGAACAGTGCTGTCTTCATGGGAATCCTCATCAAAGGGCTGGCCAAGCTGAAGAAAATCCCAGAAACAGTGAAAGCCATCCAGGATCGTTTGGAGCAGGAGCTCAAGCAGATCGTGAAGCGTTCCACCACTCAGGTGGCTGACAATGGTTACCAGAGAGGGGAGAACATTTCCCAGGAAAACCAGCCTAGGTAAGGATATTTCAACTCCCAGCCCTTTGATTGCTGCCAAAAAAAAAAAAAGAAAAAAAAAATTCCTAATTGAAAATATGACTTGAAATGGGGAAAATTCAGCTTGGTGATTTCGAGTGTAGCAGAGTCCAATTAAGCTGATGCAGGTGCAAAGCTTTGAAATCATGTATGGAACTAATTCTATCACAAATGTATGGCCAAGTCTCTAATTGTTTTGCAGCCCCATTTATGTTAATAGCAAGGTGTGGGAGCCAACTGAGCACTGTGTTTGTGCTGCTCCTCAGAATTCACTGAAAATGGCCTTTTGGAAAAAAAAAAAAAAAAGATTCCAGCAGGAATCTCTTCCAGCTGAAATATTCATCTTCACATTGTCGTGATCATTGTCCCAAGGGAATTAATGACAGAAAAGTAAAGTGTGCATCTTCATTATGTGCAATATTTGTAGTGGAAAATCACTCCCAAGGAAAACATCAGCTTGATAAAAACTCCTTTTTAAATTCCTCTCATTAGCACTGCTGTGGAAACAATTCTGTTTTGAAGAATTTGTAGAGTTACAGTGCTGATAACTCAGTGACAACGAGCTTTTTTTAGATTGGGTCAGAAGGCAGAATTTTAGTTTCTGATGCCAGGAGTGTAACATATTCTTGTTATTTGTTTTATGGACCAGTCTGGAGAGGTTGTGTGGCTCCTGGTTGTCTGTTGGAATTGATAAATTGGATCAGATCATATATCAATGCCATTAACCTGCCCAGAGGGTTGTGTGAGGCACAGAAAGGTTTTTAATGGCTTTTGGCATCTCTTGGAGAGTGTGAGCCTTTCAGATGCTCATATTCCAGAGCCATGGAAAGTGTCTTGTTGAATTCTTGTTGACTACAGCCATAATTAGAACTGGTTCTAAACCCAAATCACACGTGAAGTTTACAGCAAGCAGGTGAATTCATTTTTAGTGAAGAGAATAAATTACAATATGGAAAGGTGTCGCCACCCCTTCAATTAGCTTCAGTTTTAAATCAAAGCTCAGAGACTTTCCTACTGTCAGGGGAAAAATAAATCTAAACAACAAGACCCTGCTGCTTCGACAGAGCTCTGGAAGACCCCAAATTTGAGCACAATGCAGTGCCCAAAATGCTGAAGTGTTCTTTGGGCTCTCAGATGATCCCTGAAGTCCCTTCCAACCCAAACCATTCTGTGACTGAGGATGAAGCTGATGCTCTGCTTGGGGGAATTTTGGTGTAGTTTCTTTTGAGACCCCATGCAAGAATTATTTAGAGCCCTCCTCGTTGTACAAGAGAGAAATGATTTGTAGAACTTGGCCAAAAAAGCTGCTGATCTTATTCTTCTTACTTTTAAAATTTAACTCTCTTTTCCTTCCTTTCAAAATAAGCTTTTCCGTGGTGGTTTCTGCAGCCACCATTTACATTTGTGTATAAAAATATTGTTAATTACTGCCAAATTTTTAAACTGAAGATTTTTCTGGTTTGTCATGACTCTTTGGCTGCTCTCTCAGAGCATCAGGAAGGGCAGGAGCAGGTTCCAAGTAGCTCCTTGTCCCTGGGGGAAAATAACTCTGAAAACTCTGCCTGAATCTCACCACGTTTTAGCTGAACTCAGCTTTAAGTGGAAATTTTAAAGTCTAGGGAAATTTTCTAACATTTTTATATCTCTGTGCTCGAAAGAAGTTTATGGAGAAAGGCTTAACTATAGGAATTGCCACTGCCTCATCTTTAATTATGTGGATAATTAGAGGCTCATTAGTCACACCTGCATGGCTGGAATTGCTTATTTGGGGCTGTGGAAGACAGAAGAGGCTGTGTTGAGTCTCCTTGAGGTGCTGCTGCACAAACCTCAAAATTCAGGGGCTCTCCTGAATTTTGGAAGAGTTTGGACTATAGAATAACAATGTGGATGGATGGGACTGATTTATGGGACATTTTGGTAAGGAAACATTAAAAATCCAGTCCAAGAAGAGATGAGGGATTGATACTTTTGCTCCTAAATCCTCTTGCTTCAATTCCCTGTGCTTTTCCCTATACGCATTTATATTCTATTTTGATTTTTGCCCTCATCTCCAGGCTTTGAAATAAACACAGGAATTCTGTCCAGGCCACCCCTCTGAGCAGGTACAGACTGAAATTAATGTCCTCCCTCGGGTGGCAGCAGTCACTGGGCATCACTTCACCCCCATCATTGCCATGGAAGTCCCTCCTGGGTGTGTGTCACTGTCCCCAACACATTTCCCTGTTCCTGTTCAGCTCAGGGCACTCCCTGCTCCAACCCTATCCAGGCCAGACTATTGGATGGGCTTTGTCTCATTGCCTGTGTCTCTTTTGGGTCACCTTCTTGCAAAAATGACCTGGCAGATTTATAGGACTTTGTAGGGGAAAAGAAAAATTAAGATAAGAGGTGCTGGCTAAGCTGAAAACAGGGAGATGTGGGGATACAGTGATGAGAATGGAAAATGTCCTGGAGTGTGGGTCTGGGGGATTTCATGTCCATCAGTCTGAGAGGAGGGAGACGCTGGAATTTCAAACAAAGAGGATCTGATCACTGGAGTATTGTCTTAGTAATGGCTCCATAAATAAGTTGATAATGTGAGATCAGGCTCAAGTAGTGAGAATAAAATGAACTTGTTTAACTCTCCAGGTAGTTCAGTTCTGCAAAATTCTTCTTTCCTGGGGCAGCAAGGAAGTGCAGGGGTAACAGAGGGGGTGCAGGGGTACCCGAGCTCTTGTTTATCGTGGGATCTTGGTGGAAGCTGGGCTGTCACTGAGAACGTTTTCTCAGTGGTAGAGAATTCATTTGGTTCCTCAATGTCACATTTTTTAGCATTGGTGCTATTCTGAAATACGAAGTAAAGGGATAAATACACGTTTGATTGGGTTTTGTTTGAAAAGGTATCTTGGTTCCACTGGCTCTTTATTTCTGAGTTGAGAAGGTCACGAATTAATTCAGAGGGCTGGAGCCAGCCTGGAGAAGGGAAGGATCCAGGGAGAGCTTCCAGAACATTCCAGGGAATAAAGGGACTCCAGGAGAGCTGGAGAGGGACTAGGGACAAGGGACAGAGGGACAGGACACAGGGAATGGCTTCAGGATGGGAAAGGGGAGATTGGGGTGGGACCTTGGGAATTAGGAATTCCTGGCTGGGCTGGGATTGCCAGAGCAGCTGTGGCTGCCCCTGGATCCCTGGAATGTCCAAGGCCAGCTTGGACAGGGCTTGCAGCACCCTGGGATGGTGCCAAGGGCTGATCTTGGGGGTGTTCCCAAACCCATTCCCTGTCGCTGTGGACACTGAAAGGTGCTGGAGAAGGAGTGGGAGCAGCTCCAGCTCTGCCATGTCCTGCCCTGGAGATCACAGCTTGTGCTGGGCAGACTGGGAGCATGTGGTGGCTCCAAGGCTGCTGCAGGAAATGTGATGGAGCCTGTCTGTCAGAGCTACAAGTGCCTAACATATGGATTTGGGAAGTGTTATCTTCATGTTTTGGTGGGGTTACGTAGGGACTCGAGTTGCTCATTAAACGGCGCTGAACTCCATCGGGATTTTTCTGGTCTCAAACAGTAAAAGTGTGATGGCACTGCCTCGTCACAAACCGTTCAGGACTTTGTAAAGGTGCTTTAATTATGGTAATTGGGCAGTAAGGAACCGTAGGAGCAGGTACAGTGCAGTAGATTTAGATGATGTTACAGCTATAGCAAATATAGGAGTAAAATCATGGGAAGTGATGAGGCTTGATACTTTAGCTTTGTGATATTTCCTGTTGTTTGAAAACTGCCATATTAATTTAATAACTCAAAAAGCATTCCTTTTATCCTGTTTGTGTGGGTAAGTCAGTTTTTACTGCCCTGAGAGACTTTTTTCTGGGGGAAGAGTAGCTTGTTTCCCTCTCTACCTGCAGCCCTACACAATGGGCTCTAATATTATGTTGGTCCACTTTAATTACTGTGGAGTTATTAATGCTTTTGTCTTCCCTGTAGCCCTAAACATGAGAGTTTTAAAGAGAGCCATGCTGAATTGCTCTCTTTAAATATAGGGAAGGGAATGAGGAGAAAAATCCTCAGGAATATTCAGATACCAAACCTGAGCTGAATCGAGCCCACAGAGAGGGTTTGAAACCAGGTGACCTCAGCAAGTCACAAAGCAGGGCATTGAAACCACAGTGCCCCGTGTGCCTGTGGAATGTTCCAGAGCTGTTCCTGTGCTTCCCAGGTTGCTGCTGGAGCTTCTGGAGCTGCTCTTTGACAAGTTCAACGCCGTGGCCGCCGCGCACTCGGTGGTGCTGGGCCACCTGCAGCAGACAGTGGCCTCCCCCTGCAGCCAGCACGATGGGGACATCAAGCTCTACGACATGGTGGATGTGTGGGTGAAGATCCAGGATGTCCTGCAGGTAAGAATCCCTCGGCTGGGCACGTTCTCAGCTTGGCACAGCCTTTAGAACCGTGCCAGAGAACGCCGGGTGCGCTCAGCAGTGCTGGGATTTGTCTTTGGGGTTTTTTTTTTTGGGAAGTGGCCACATTTACAACAGATTGTAAAACTCCAAAGAGCTTAAATATCAGCAAAAAAAAAAAAAAAAAAATCCCGTGGATTCATCCTTATGGTGTTTGGAAAGGTTGATTCCTTTTGCCTACCAAGTGATTTATCAGCAGCTTTCAAAGTGACATTTTTGTTCTGTGTTACCATGTCATGCCTGTCTTATAAAGTGTCACAGCTCTAATGGCTTGTCTTCTGCTGTCATTATGGCTGGGTTTAGGCAGCTCAGACACTTGCTGCCGGCGTGTCTGCAGCAAATTCTTATTTGATTCTTCCTCTTAACTGCAAGAGACTAAAGCTGTACCTTGCTAAGGCTTTATTCAGGTGCTGAGCTCTCACCTGGGGATCTGAGGCTCTCTCAGGCAGCAGAGCTCTCATCTGTCACATGTCTGTTCTCTCATTCTTGCTGTGTTAGTGTTTGGTGTTGTATTAAACACCTGTTTAGTATTTTTTTTTTTAATTTATTTATTTGGAGATTACCTTTGTACATAGTGCACAGATGTGGAACTTCACCTGGCATGTGATAGAGGAGGTCAAGGAAGCGAGCCTGGCTTTATTTACAGGAGGTGGAAGGATTTATGTTGGTCATTCCAGCTCTGGGCTGGTGATGGAAAATGCCCTCTGCCTCCTGCCCTAACTCACTTTTTCAGTTTTGGGCTGGTTTGTAGCTGTTTCTCTGCAGGATTGTTTGACTGTGCAGTGATGCAATTTTTTTTCTTACACAAATATCCCAACTGTGTTCATGGTATGGATTTAAATACTTGGACAGGATAAATGTAAGGTGTGGGCCTTCAATCCCCTCCACTGACTCCTTACCCACATATTTCTAGAATAATTCTTATTAAAGAAATCTCCATCACTTTTCCCCATGCCACGGACTTGCAGCTCCCTTCAACGTTATTCTTGCAAAATTTTCCTTGGAAATGTCCAGCCAGAGATTCATGAGGGGTCTTCTGAACAGCACGATATCACACAACTGAAATGGGAAAAAAGAAGTGAAGAATAAAAGGGAAGAATTGAATTTAAGGATCTGTGCAATGGGTTTGGAATGGGGAATCTGCAGCCATCTTCCTGAGACCCATGAGGTCCAAAAAAACTTCAAGCTTTGAGTTCTGCAGGTTTTGCTGCAGAAAGACAAAACCTTGGATAAGAACCCTCCCAAGATTGTTCCTTCAGTGTAGCAGAACATCAAGGCTGGATATTCCCGTCCTCTGGGGGAGTTTGGGATGGGTTCAGTCCTGGTGTGGCGTGAAATTTGGGATGATTTCTGTTGGCTCTTCCTGAACAAGGCTGATAGAACTCGAAGCCTGTGGAGGTGTGAGCACCGAGGAGTGAAAGTTCTTTCTGTGCTGGGGAGACAATGTCTGACCAAGATCTCTGGAAAAACTGCCAAGAAAAACACAACAACCCACTTGGAATTGTTCCCATTGTTCTTGGGTGTCAGGGGGAGTCAGAAAAGCTTCCAAAAGAGCTTTTACAATGCATAAAAGCAGCACTTTAAGATCCATAATCTCTTGCTGGTTTAAGGTAAGAGATGAGCATTGACTGGCATGAAAGGGAGGAAACGCTGCATTTCTTTGTTCAAAATCTTGTGAGTGTTTGTACCTCAGTTCCACTGGAGTGGCTTAAAATATTTTTGCCTTAGAGTGTAAGAAAACCTTTGATCCCAAAGCCTAAATCATCTCTAGCCTGCTTTTCTGAGTAAGGATAATTTTTGCAGAGGAGATCCTGCGTTTGCAGCAGGGGGAGCAGAAAATTCAGTTTTAAAAGTGTTTACAGCTGTTGGGGGGAGGCTGAAAACCTGGAGGAAGTGACTCAGGGAAGCGATGCAATTCCTTCAAATGCCAACAAATGGAATTTGGTCACCACAGCAGAACAATGTCACACGTTCTGTACGTGTGCATTGTGCATCTCTGCACGTGAAATTCCTGACAGCAATTGTCTCTCCGTGCCTGTACAAAATAACAGGAGCCCGTGGTGGGCAGGAAATTTGTGGGGAATGAGTTGTTTTCTGCAGCTCATTTTTTGGAGCTGGATTTCTGAAAGCTCCCTGAAATAACTGCACCAGGCACTGTGGTGGCTCAGCACTGAGCAGTGTTGAGGTACAGAACATGCAGATATTAAATATTTCTGACCTTCTCTGAGAATGGAGGAATAACACACAAGATAGAGTGACCTTTTCCAGTCGGTGGTAGAATGCTACAAAACAAACAAACAAACAAAAGCAGTTTGTCAAAATATTAGAGCAGCCTTGTTCAGGAAAGAAAAAAAAAAAAACCATTTGAAGTTTTTTCCTTGTCTCACAGCCAGCGTAGCCCTCGGTCATGTTGTTCCATCGATGGGAGAGGGGGAGAAATTTGTTTAAATTTTAACTTAAAGCTTGGCATTTTGTGTGGAGCTAATTGAGCTCTTCAGAGCAGGAGTGGGTGGAAGAACCCCATTAATGCAGGAGCAGGGCCTTGGCTGGAGAGAACTGGGAGCCACGTGCTGGTGTGAGTGGTTGTGTCAGGATAAATAAATAGTGAGGGAATCCTGAGGTTTTCTGGGATAATTCAGTGCCCAATTCAGAACCTCTGTGCTGTTGGGATGAGACCAGAGGAGCCTCTCTGCTCTGGAGCCAGCCTGGGAGAGCTGGGAATGTTCACCTGGAGAAGGGAAGGATCCAGGGAGAGCTTCCAGAACATTCCAGGGAATAAAGGGGCTCCAGGAGAGCTGGAGAGGGACTGGGGACAAGGGACAGAGGGACAGGACACAGGGAATGGTGCAGAACCCTGCAGGAGAAGCTACCAATGACTTGTCCTGTTGGTGACCTGTCAACAGCTCAGGCTGGGGCTGTTTGCCTCCAAGGGAGAGATCTTCTCTCCTTTCTTCCTGGAGAATTTCTAGTTGATGATTCTCAATTTTTTGGGGTCTGTATTTTTTTCTCCCTCCCACAGAAGAGAGGGAAAATCACACATATTTTCTCTGGGACATAAATCTTTAGCAGGCTCTCTGGTGGGCTGTCTGCTGGGAAGACACTGACAACTAATATGTTCCTTTTTTGGTTTGTTTTTTTTTTTCTGTCTAATGCATTCCTGTGTTTTCCAAAATTGGTGTCATTTAGCAGCCCAAACATTGCTGAAACCATAAGGAAACTGGGGAAGGAGGAACTGAAGGCTCCTCTCTGCCCACACACTCCCGTTGTGCTACTGCAGAGCTGAGGATTTCAGACACTGAGCATCGAGAAACCTCTCTTAAGGATGCTCCACCATCCTCAGATCCTCCCTTAGATATAAATATATTCCTTTATATAAAAAGGAACGGCATTTGATGGAGGGAGCAGGGAAATGGGATCATTCTGTGCCTCGTGGCTGGCTCTGGTGGTGGGCAGTGGGGGTGATCTTGCAGAAAAGCTGCATTTAAATTGCATTTTCTGTGACACACTTATTGTGGGACAGCACTTGGAGATGAATTTCAGGGCTCTGCTGCAGGAACCTGATTCCCTCTCTGTTTTTGAAGGAATTAATGGCACAAAGTGCTGGTCCCCTTCATGACCCAGGTGAGCAGGGGAGTGTCTGTGCAGTTCTCAGTTCCTCAGTGAGAAAGGTGTGGAGAGGTTTCAGCTCCGTGCCAGCTGTGCCAGTTGTGCTGTCATCCCACTGCTTCCTTTGTGCCAGGATGGGGGTTTTTTGGTGTTTTTTTTGGTTTTTTTTTGCATTTCTTCCTTTTTGCCTGGATGTTTTTGGGTTTTTTTGCACTTTTTCCTTTCGTGGCCAGGATGTTTTCCTTGCTCTGGCAGTGGTGCTGCTCGTTCTCCTGTCAGGAATGTGATTTGAGAGAGTTGATTTGGCCAAGGGTTTTTTGCTGGCTGCTTTTTCTGCTCCCTCAGGTCCCTGAACTGTGGCAGGGCTGGCACAGGAGCAGGTGAGGGAGGGAAGGCACCGTGGAAAAGGGAAGGGAAAAGGATTTTTCCTGGCAAGGGAAGGGTTTTTCTATCAGCTGGAGCTGCTCATGGAAAACCCCAGTGGTTTTTGGTGGGTGGCTCACACAGGTCTGAAGCTTTGCATTTAAAAGCTGTTTGTGACACAGTTGGTCACTCAGAAAGTCAAATCAGCTCCTTGCAGGAGAGCTGTTAATGTGCCATAAATCCTGCTTGGAATGTCAGGGCAATATCTGAAATTGCTGCTGCCTTTGGGAAGTTCACCAGGTGATGTTTTGAACCTGAAGCAGTTATTTTTCACAAAGTGTCTCCACAGATATTTAATGGCTTTGTGGTCATCCTCCAGATAATGGGTCTGACAGTCTTTGTGGTTCTTTTGAAATGGTGTGAAGTGTGTGGAACTGCTGCCCTTGGACTCCTGACTGGTTTGTCTCATTAATGCTCATCTCATTGAGAGAGCTGTTGGTCATAAAAGGGATTTGTCTGCAGCTTTAAAAAATAAAATACAGCTTCACTCAGTCTCCAGCAAGAGAAAGTGAGGAGGGAGAATTCCACTCCTCAGAATGCTGATATTTAAAAATGGAATTTAAATAATTAGAGTAGGTCACTTGATACTTTTCTCTCCCACCTGTTATTTGAAGTGAGCTCAGCACATGCAGGAATAAATCCAGCAGGGTGTTACTGTGTTTGCTGCAAATATGTGCTGCTAAGAACATGAGAATTTCTGGGGAAGTTTATGATCCAGGAAGAGTTTCATCTTTCTGGATCTAAGAAGGGACCAGCTGATTTTGCAGGAAGGTATTTCTTTCAATTTTGGCCTTGCCAAAAAGATTTGTAACGTCCTGCCTCCCCTCTCTGTTAAAATGTTTTATAGGTTTGCTTCAATTTCCCTAAGAATTGAAGTCTTCTTGCAATTTCAAGCAGCAAATAAATTGGTA